TCAAAATTATTTTAAATTAATTCTGCAGTTATTAATATCTGTCAAACTAATCTTTCTTGACCACATTTCATGGTGTCTCCACCATAGATATAAATATTAGCTTATACATATAAACATAAATGGGCATACAATAAAAACGTACTGAGAATCCGAAATGAATGAATTTTATTTGTGATTGCGAATTCAACGTCTAGAAAGAATCAGAAAATACCTGTAAGGAAAACTCAGTCATTTCAGTTCGATGCATAGATTATAATTGATGGCAATCATCTTGTTATACACGGGATATAAAAAAATAGCTGATAAATTATCCATGGTTAATCAACTCTTCTCAAGCTTCCCGCAAATTACAATCAAGATATAAATCAGCGTCTGGTAACGACATACTTTCTATTTCATGTCATCGGAAAGACAATAGAGACAGTTAAAGGGATATCGATCACGCTGTAATAGTTAGTTGTGATAGATTTCATTTATCGCAGAGGATATACGAGCAAAAGTAGAAATTGTCAGGCTCACATGTGATTGTTAAATAATTTATAATTTACAATTGAAATAAATATAAGAAATAATGTATAAATGTTTCAATAAAAAACTAATAAATGCGCAATAAAAAATCAACAATATTTGTAGTTATTAAGATATTTGTGTGTGTAAATAAGCAGGAGAGAGAGAGAGAGAGAGAGAGAATGGTAAACTAAAAAAAAGTTAAATATTTTGTATTAAAATAAGTAATAAAAATATTTAATATTGATTACAAATTATTGTGAGAAAAATGTTTATTTCAAATTTCGTAGGAATAGTCATATATATATATATTTACATCATCTTATTTACTCAATTATTATCTTGAATAACACAGTGTCTACTATCATTTTTGGTTTTTAAAAATATTGTACCGTATTTATCTAAACATTTACTGTATTTTTTTAAGATTGTGTAAGAAATTAAAAAGTAAATTTTAAATATTTATTTTATTAAAACTTCAATTCCTGATACAATCGATATAGTATAATTATAACATATCAATAAAAATTTCATTTAAGTGTTCTTTTTTAGATTTATACAGTAGTATTTTTCGATCACACCAGAGATGTAAACGATGGAAAAAGAATTCTAGAATTTTAGAGTAAAAAACTCAGGAAATAATGATTTTTTTTCTTCGGTTTTGATAGTTCTTTATTTGGATTTTTTTTTTGCATTTTACAATTTCGACGTTGTACAATACTTATCGTTCTAGAATTCTTTTACTTTTTGCCCTTATCCGTAAGATTTCTGTGTAAAAATAGTTACAAAGTTAAAATATAGTTTAATAAGCATCAGCGCGGGAGGAGGTACATATTAAAGTGGAATAATGACATAACTCCAAAATCTTTGTGATGTCTTCTTTACTCACAATGTTGAATGTTTCGACTCTCTTTTGAGTTTTCTTCAGCAAACAATCATTGCAATACCTCAATAGTCCGTCAAGGAAAGTCACTCTTCAGGTTTCCAAGTCTGAAGTGGACGCTTAACGGACTTACGAGCATGTTGAAAAACTTCGGATTTCTCGAATACAATTAATATAAACTTAGTCATTAAATTTGAATACAATTAAAATATTCGTGGTTCGGAATTTGGTGTCGAATTTGTTAATTTTAAAAATTAATTATTATTTTAATTATGTTTAATTATTATAATCTAAATACGTGTATGGCAAAGACACACTGAGAAAAATATCTAGGCTTTTTCCGATCATAATGATATCTTAAAACGAAGTGAAAATTACAAAAGTGAATGAATTTACTAGAATACTAATAATTTCACTGATCAACACCTAATAAATTTGCTCAGTTTTGTAATTTTTACCTCGTTTCAAGATACAGAATTGAGAATCGATACAGGTACAAGATACAGAATTGACCCCCTGATCCCCTGTATCTTCAAAGAAGGTGAAAATTACAAAAATTACAAAAGTGAGCAAATTTACTAGGTGTTGATCAATGAAATAATCAGTATTCTAGTAAATTCGTTCACTTTTATATTTATAATTTTTACTTCATTTCAAGATACAGAATCGATCCCAAGGTGAAACATTGCGCATAATGGCGATAGCAATACTGGAAATAATCAATCAAATGTTCCCCAATATGCACTTTTCAGGGCCTCTATTCTTGAAAAGAAACGTATACGAAAGTCTAGGGAAATACTACAGTATATGTTATATATAAATACTATAGCAGTTCCCTAGTTTTTCGTATGCGATACTTTTCAAGAATAGAGCCCCTGCGTATAATAGCGCTAGTTATATTGGAACAGCCAATCAAATGTTACCCAAATTCACTCTCATACTGCGCATTCATGGGAGTACTCCACCTTGTATTCTTTCCACTATCCGAGAGAGACTATGGAAACAGTCGCTAATCACGTGATCAACTATTCTGTGATTGGCCAACCCTTTCAATTGATCGTACTATATATCAAAATAAAATACTCTCTTTTTATCCGTTCAAGCCTAATGACCGATCAAGTTGTAGGTTCATCCAATAAAATTTTAACGGATATGGCATATGACAGTTCATAATCCGTTCATATGTAATCGGAAATTATATTTCATCAGATAAAGGTGTTTGTCACTTCATCGAATAATCCTGAATCCGATCGAAATTGATCAGAGAAATCATTAAAACAGTTATATCCGATCAAAAGCACTTTTTCTCAATGCAAAAACGAACGTGTCACTTAATGAGCAATATCGATATTCCAAAGAGCCAACACACGTTTCATCCAGAGACTTTCCTTCGCGTGATTCGACTCTCGAATTTCATCAAAAACGATATCTCGAATTCTTCCTTTTCCGCCTTTCTACGCACTTCGCAATGTGCACACAACGCGTAATTACATTCAGCATCGTAAATTTCGGTCTGCTTGCTTCGTGACAGGTTTATGTGAGCGCAACGGAAATCGAGGAAAGCAAATGAGCGGATCCACTCGTCAGTCGGACACAATGAAAAGCTAAGTAATGTCCACATCATTTTAATGTATTGTTGCATCTTGTGGCATATCCTTAAAACACAATGTTACATTCAAAGCGTTATGTAATTTTATTTATCATTTTTACTTGATCGTATTAAGAGTACCTATTAATTTAAAAGGTCCCCCATTAGGGACCTGAGCTTTCAAACAAAGTAATTTATGGAAAATATTGCTTTTTAAGGATTTTTGGAATCGCTGAAGTCAATTCTGGGGAGTCCCAAAATTGTAAAATTCAAATTTAAAAAAATAATGAGTTTAAATATAATCTAAAAATATCGAAAATTTTGAAAGAATAATAATCTTCATGAAAAGAGATTCTAGTTTCATAGGATTTATAATCAGAGTATGAAAGTCAGTTTAGAAATCAGTATTAACTGTTTATATAGTATTAATGACCTTCAAATAAAATAGAAATTTAATGTTAAATATACTTTGGAATTCTTTAAAACAGAGTTTTATTATATAATCAAATATTTTTTTTAATTCTGCTCACCATATTGAATCCATCATTTTTATTTTTTTATCTCAAATTTGAATAAAGCATTATCAAATTACCTCATAGCAAGTTTCATAAAAATTAATTGAGCGGTTTATAAAACAAAAAAAAGTATGAGTCCAAACGGGGTCGCTGGTCCACGAAGGATTAATATGCAACTATATAATATATTAAAATTCTAAACATATATATTAGCAATCGCAAAGTATATTTTACTTAGATACTTTCTGCATTTAATCATCAAGACAATATAAAATTTGAACAACGAAGCGTAAAATACTTATTATTACTATAATTGTTATTATTCTAATGTATTTTTATTTTTAACTCTTTCAAATTTTATTTATAAAAAATAGTGTAACGTGAAACAATCTTGAGATTTAATATAAAATTAAATTAGTGATAGAGAGAAAGGAGAGAAAGAGAGAGAGAGAGAGAGAGAGAGAGAGAGAGGGAGAGAGAGGGAGAGAGAGAGAAGTAGAGAGTAAAATCGAAAAATTTTAATTTTATATTGATATTTCCTTGTATTGTTTAATAACTATTAAATAATTATTAATTTGATTTGTAAGAAAATGTAAACAATCTTTTGCTGTATTTAATGTAGAATCAATAGAATTCGATCGAAATTTCGGTTTTGGTTTGATCAATTTCGTCAAAAATCAGGGTTTTGGTTTGATTTTCGGTCAAAATAAAAATAAAATTTCCGTGGGTAAGTACTCAACTGTATGTACAAGTTGCAACGCACCGGTGAACATTAAAAAAAACAACTGTTCGATTTGTATTATTAACTCGTTGATTAAGTTTAAGACAATTTGAGTACAAACTTTGATGTATAAATCTAATAATAACTGATTTGATTTCTTTAAAAATTGAGAATGCAATATTATTATATTATATTATTGCAGTTAGATATTTGAATAAAATCTTGTTTTTTAAAAAGTACATAAATTTGTCATGATTCCTGAAAATCATACGGTCTCTGCAAAATTAATCAAAAAATGTCGATTTCGATATCCGGCCGAGAAAAATGTAACTCCGTTAGATTCTCTCTTTCTCTTTTTTTTTAGTATTTAGTACTTATCTAAGTTTCGTTTTCGACCGAAATTGAACGACTACCGAATATTCGTTTTCAGTTTTGATCGAAATGTGGTTTCGATCAGATTCTAAAAATTAAGTTGGTAATGTGAGAAAAATACGTAGTTAAAACCGAAACTTGTTTTTACATTAAAATATCTTTAATCTATTCATTATTTAATAATTATTTTAATTACTTAAATATAATTTATAATATAATGTTTAATTATGCATACGGAGTGTGTACAATTTTAATTATAATTCATAATGCAACTTACGCGTTGCAACACAACTAAACGAGCGTCAATTTTGGTAAACGCAATCCGGCCATGGTGGATGTCACTTTCTTGATCATCGGCAAAGTGGGAGTCGATATAAAAAGAGGATATATTCCGTAGCCATAGTCAGTGAGTGTAGTGAGAGTGCCGTGATCATTCCACCGGTATATCGTGAAAGTCAAGTATGAAGGTACGCGTTTCATCTATCATATATAGTTCATATACGTTTTGTTCATCTATCCTGATTTGTGAAGTGCCAATAAATACTGAAGCGTCAAGTGAAAGAAGTTCGATATTCAGAACTTTTAATATATTAATTTAATCCGCATGTTCATCATTAATCTTTCGCCTCTCACTTTTTGCATTAACAGCAAAGATTGCAAATCTTGCGACGAGCAACTGAAAGGTTCTATAATCTTTGAATTATTAATGATCTTTTACACTTATTTTTCTTCCTTGATCATTAATTCTTTGTTATCATTCGAGGATTTCACGCCATTCGAGAGTAAGGCACCTTGCTTCTCATCCACGTGAAAGTTCTACATAGCGTGACCGTAACCTTTCTTCAATATACCTGTCACAAGTTTCACACGTGTAAGAATGAAAAAAATTATGCGCGATAGCTCCGCAGTCTTCAGCTGTAAGCCGTGAAGAAATAATTACTGTAGCGTAAACTTTTGTTGAAATCCGCATATTTTTTCACTTTCTATAATATGTTAGTGCAAGTTCTATGCTAATTTCTAAGATTGGATAATGCTAAGTTAAAAAGTTAAAAGTTAAGTTAAAAAATTAATTAATTTTAACTGCATTTAGTTACATTTTAGATTCTTAACTTTTTAACTTTACTTAGTTATATTTTATTGGTAACTATTAACTTTTAATTTGATTTTTTAAAAGGTAACATCAGGATTGAGTAGTTGACTTTATATGGATTCTATACTCGGACTCGTATATGTTCGGATTATATATTATACATTCGATATATTTTTAATTTTAAATAATTTCAAATATTTCATTTACGTTTTAATAAAAAATAAAGAGGTTTGAAAGCGATCCATCGTCATGACCTCCCAGGAAAAAATGTTTCATGTATAATTATATATAATTCTATATAATTATATAAAAAAAAAATTGACATATTTTATATATAATATTTTTTCCTGGGCTAAAATCACAATTTTCTCAAAAGTACACAGAAGTGCAATTTACTGCTTTACAGAGATTATTTTTTGGTCCTCGAATAATCACAAAAAGGTAATCAAAATCCATATGATATGAAATATATGTGAGTCTCTCCTTGTTAAAAAGTTAATTTTTTAACTTAGTTTTTTAATTTAGTTAAAAAAAATGTTAACTCAAAATCTCTCTCATGAAATAAAACAAATTTAACTTTTAACTTTTCAATTTTTTCATTAACTTAATTTTAAATTCAATAATTAACGCCACTATGAATTAACTTTTATCTTAACTAAATTAAATTTTCAAGGCTGTTAACTTTAACTTAACTTAGTTTAAAAAAAAAGTAACTTACCCAATTCTACTAATTTCAACTAGTTATTTTGATTATTATAATCCGCAATACATTATAATCCTTCATACATCACATATACTCGTATATATTTATAACTTATATTCCATTTGATAACGATTTTTCTCTAATTTTTCGTTTGGTTAAACAAATCTGATTATCTTATCTGGTATATATTGATCTTTCTAGCGCCAAGCTTTTATTTGTAAGGAAAAAAATTTACATTTTTCCGCGATATATTCTTTACATCCTTCGGAAACGTCTTAAAAATTTAAAAATAGCTGATTGCGAAAGTACTGGAAAGTTAATTTTCACACTTATGCTATTTTCATATCTTGTATGATATATTTTCTAATTAGATCACTTTCCAACTATTATGAAGATCCGATATTAGATACGTAACGGAAGATGAAAAAGTTGACAAATGAATGATATAATCTAGGCAAAAAATTCATACGTTGCTATAAAAAGCGTTGCACATTTTATTCACCTCTATTTTATAAGAATAGCTTTTACTTGAAAGGCGATTTTTTCCTTAGTACGGAAGTTAAATTTTTTATTAACGATCATTCGCTATACGGCTTTTTAGAAATCGTCAGAATACATGCAGCAAACGATTACGAACAAACTAGGTCAGCCAATGACTCTACACATACAAGATCAAGGTTACGATGATCACTCTCGTTCATTCAAGTGGGACGATTCTCTACGATTATGATAAAACGCAGATCATTCAATTGTATTATTTTTCATTATATTCATCTTATAATTCTGAATTGTTTTCATTTTTGTTCCATTTTGTCTGGTAGATTAACGATCCCGTTCACGAAAGAGAGAGAGAGAGGGGGGGGGGAGGAAGAATTAAAATCCGGAAGAAACATGATTGTTCTGCAGATAATATAATAAATTGCGTAACTTCTTGCGTAAATTTTATCGCTAATTAATTTAGAGTTTTAGTTGTATCGCGGTATCAGTGTGAAATCATCGGTATTCGGGAGATTGCCGTTTTTGCCTCAAGTCATGTATGGCGATCCCCGTGGTGAGCGCACTTTGAATTACCGGTAGTCGCATAACTTTCACCTGGCATCGCTCTACTTACTACATTCACGTTAATGCTCCTCGCTTGAATAATTCGGAAATGAACACTTGACCCTCAAAATGCACTGTAGTAAGAAGTTAACGACGCTTAACAAACCGGACAGACTTCCCTAAATCACGACAATGTAGTTTATAAACTCTGCAAGTATTCGTTGTCAATCTGATGTCATCGTATACACTATTACATTCAATCCGAGAATAGTTACCTGGGATAATTTGTACACTCCAGCAGCAAGAAAATAAAGTTTTCTTTACTAATTAAAAATTCATCACACTTATATTTTTGTCTTCTTGCTTCTTTATAGAGAATATTAAATAAATTTATGTACAGACGGTCATAGAAAGGTTGTAATACTTTTTTTTCAATGAATTTCGGAATTTAGCCTTGTTTATAAAACGGTTGAACATAAATAGTTAGATCCAAGTAAGAACCACTCGTGAGCAACCTGCATTTCGAAACCTTTCTGTAATTAGCTGTATACAAAAGATGTTGACCTCAAATAATAATAGAACAACCAATAATATATTGTTAAATAAAAGTTGAGAATAATATACAATGTATAATCAATAATAAGAATTTTAATTAAGGTATAAATATTACTTCACACTGTTAAATATTAACACAATATATTGTAGCAACATTGCAGCAGTATCACAATATTGTAGCAATATTCCTATATTTGTTAAAATATGTTGAGTCGCGCAGAGGAATAGGGAAAAGAACACTACTCGGATTATTGGAAGAATAATTATTCGCTCTTTATTCGTATCCGTCACAAAAAGTTGTGTGCAAAAGATAAAAGCATGCTTAGTACAGAGAAAACAAGATGGTTAATAGAGGTAAAAAGAAGAACATGCATTATTCAGATACTATAGAAGGGCGACTCGATGAGTCAATCCTCATGTCGCCATATCCGGACATTCCTAGCGAGCGATGGATGTCCGGATTTGCAGTATTATCAACCTTCCAAAATTTCGGAGGAACTCTTGAGTTCGAATCCAGTCGCGGCTTGTGTTCTTAACATGCCCGAAAAGTCGCATAGATGTGATGTGCATCTACTGTCAAGGCACCATGAATTTTGCGCCGGGGATCCATAGAGTTTGCTCAGCAAATAATATTTTACCCATTACAATTAAAAGTAGAGATGGCTACGTTCAGCAGAGAAAGTAGTTTTGCAACTGTTGTAAAATTCTTCAATATAAATTTATACGTTTAGATCTATAAAGAATAACAGCAAAAACCAATTGTATTGAAGAATTTTACAACAGTTGCAAAGCTGCTTTTTCTGCTAAACGCAACCATTGTGTAATAATGAAATATTTGTGAAAATAGAATATTCGCGTGATAACACGCTCAAATTTAAAAAAAGTAAGGAGTATAAGTGTAATTAAATGTTAAAATATATCTTAAAAACATTTCAGAATGCTTGACAGTAAAAGTGCATTATATCGACTCTAATAGCACTCTTTATTCGAGAGACGTTCTGACGAATATGTTCTTCTTAGAACATAGGGATAACCTCTGAATGTTCTTTGGAACGTCCCTTGGAGATCTGTGCTATTAACCTAGACAGCCGAATCTACGTTCTGTCAACGTTAGAACGATATCGCAAACGTATGTTGAATACATTGTCAAGATATTCGAGACGCATCTGTGAATCTTCAGAATCTACTATGTCCGCGTTTTCACATCCCGTACTTTCACAAAGAACTTCTAGTGATGTACAATAGTTATTCTGAGATGTATCAATATGTCTTCAATATGTCTCCAGTACATCTCTATAGTATTATAGTGATGTCTCTAGTGTGTCGTGTATGCATGCACATACACACGTACATATACACAGCCTTGCGCACATGCTCGCGTATACAGTGCTGAACAAAAATATTGGCATGCGATTACTACTATGAAATAATATTTTCGAAGAATTAAATCTTTGAAAATATTTATATTTTATAATAGCATCCTCTGTGTCAATACTTTTGTTCAGCACTTTTGTATATTAAATTTAAAATTAGATTAGATTAGTGAACATGTTAGAAACTGTAAGCTTATTAGTTACGGCATTACATTTTGCCGCACAACAGGCGTTTCCACATCTAGTATGCAGGAACCGTAAGTCGGCACCACTTTCCGGCATAAATATTCAAATAAGAACAGCATCTGAACCAAGATGCGCCGCGGATAAATGGTTCTTCACTACATTCAATCACAGAACTGTATTAGCATTTTAAGGCACTCAAGATCGTAAAATCATCTTTTACGATCGTAAAATGAAAGAACTATGAATGTCGGCCTAAATATAATGCGATGATTTTTTTTAGAGATAGTATTACGCGAAAGTAAGAGTTTCGGCACAGATTTCGATCCGATAGAAGAGCCGTCGTAAGTAACAGAATAGAGGTTAGATTATCACTGATGCAGGTAGCGTTGGTTCCCCGATAAAAAATTTGTCATGCATAAATATGTATAAATATGTATAAACATACATAAATACGCACGAATATTCATAAACATATATAATTATATATGAAATATGTCCATGTTTATACACCCTTTTTTC